GCGGGAACGATCCTACAGTTGCAAATCACAATGGAATTCTGTCGACACCACACATGCACGAAAAACAGGTGAAACCCCATTTACAATGCGGAACCGATCCGAGACCATGATCCGAGCATGATCCGACCACACACGAGACCGTCTCGCAACCGTCGCACCGCAGAGGTAGATCATCGAGGTTCGGGGACGGACTTTGTATGGAAAAACATAGGGTTTCGTGCATCTGCTATCTCTCAAAAACGCATTTCGTGCGAGACTTCCTTCAAAAATCCAACTTGAAGATGTCATTTACAATTAACTCTGTCCCTCACTAACTCTTTCTTTGACTAACTCTTTCCCTAACTAACTCTTTCCCGCACTAACTCTTTCTTTGACTAACTCTTTCCCGGACATTCCTCTTTCCCTCACGAACTCTTTCTTTGACTAACTCTTTCCCTGACATTCTAAAAGTTACAATTAACTCTGTCCCTAACTAACTCTTCCTTTGACTAACTCTTTCCCCGACAGTCTAAAGGTTACAATTAACTCTTTCCCTAACTAACTCTTTCCCTCACTAACTCTTTCCCTACCATTAACTCTCTCCGTAACTAACTTTCTTTGACTAACTCTTTCCCTGACATTCTAAAAGTTGCAATTAACTCTCTCCCTAACTAACTCTTCCTTTGACTAACTCTTTCCCTGACAGTCTAAAAGTTACAATTAACTCTTTCCCTAACTAACTCTTTCCCTCACTAACTCTTTCTTTGACTAACTCTTTCCCTGACATTCTAAAAGTCCGTAACGCGGAAGTTTCTCCCCTAAACTTCCTTTGATAATATAATACAATATAATACAATACATACGAATAATACGGGTATCGGTATGACGCTATCTTTCGCAATTGCTGACCCCTGGATAGCATTCATGTTTGATTTGGAAATGCTTGAAGCCTATTAATCTCCCAAAGTGTGGGTTAAAATCCCATTTTTAGAGATGTTTTTTTTTCCCATGAGTTAAGAATTGAAGAATGTCCGAGTGTTGGATCGTTGTTCTTTTCCATGAATTAGAGACATTTCTTGCATGGTTTCAGAATGAAGATCCCAATTTAACCATAGTTTTCGATGTGTTAGGAATCAAAAACCCATGGCTTAAGAATTGACATCCCATTGGTTCAAACAATTTTTCCATGGCTTAAAATACACTGTCCAGGCGTCGTCACCGCCTGGGATCCACATGAAGAATCCTGGGCTGTTCAGCGCTGAGATCAGATGGCAGATCATCAGATTCCTGGTTCCCAGTGGTCTTTATAGGGAACCATCCTGATTTTGGAGGTATAACCTTTGGTGATATGGGTATGGGTCAATACCTATAGATACATTTTTAGAGGGATGAACATCCATTTACCAGCTATTTTTATGTTCACCAGGGGTACAGGGTTTTGACACACTGCCATATACTGTAATTGTGATCGAAGGAAGTTTAGAAGTGAAACTTCCGACAATATGGACAGTTGAAAAGCAGAGGTGAAAAGAGTCAGAAGAGAAAAGATCAGAAGAAAGAAGAGGTAGATGCGCGAAAAGATAGGAAAGTCGCGATTCACTGTGTCTTTCCAATGATTTGTGGCTCCGGAGGGTCGAAAAGTAGGCTCGCTAAAGCGGCGGGTGTGGAGCCAGCTGGCCAGATGAGACATGAAAAAGTGCACGCCGTTGTGGCGCGAAGCACATTTCCAAGTCAAAATGGACAAAACACTAGAGGAGCGGACCACTTTTGGAAGTTGAGATGTCGAAAAAGTGCACGCCGTTGTGGCGCGAAGCACATTTTGAAGTCAAAATGTGCAAAACACATCATGGTCGGACCACTTTTGGAAGTTGCGATGTCGAAAAAGTGCACGCCGTTGTGGCACGAAGCACATTTTGAAGTCAAAATGTACAAAACACACCATGTTCGGACCACTTTTGGAGGTTCAGATGTCGAAAAAGTGTCGAAAAAGTGCACGCCGTTGTGGCGCGAAGCACATTTCGAAGTCAAACGTGTAAAAAACTGAGGGTTTTGAGCCTTTTTTGACGTTAAGATGTCGAAAAAGTAGACACTGATTGAGTTAACTAACTTGACTAACTTAACTAACTTCACTAACTTAACTACCCTTACTTCGACGACAACAGCAACAGCAACAACAACAACAACAACAACAACACCAACACCAACACCAACCACAACAACTACAACTACAACAACAACTACAACTACAACTACACAACAACTACAACTACAACTAGAACTACAACAACTACAACAACTACAACAACAACAGCAACAACAACAACAACAGCAGCAACAACAACAACTACAACTACAACTACCAACAACTACAGCTAGAACTACAACTACAACAACTACAGCTACAACAACAACAACAACAACGACAAAAACAACAACAACAACAACTACAACAACAGCAACAACAACAACTACAACTACAACAACTACAACAACAACAGCTACTACTACTACTACAACTACACGACACAACAACTACAACCACACAACAACTACAGCTACAACTACAACAACAACAACAACTACAACTACAACAAGTACAACTACAACTACAAAACAACTACAGCTACAACTATATGACTGCAACTACACTACACTAATTACATTACACCACAACTACAACTCCACTACGCTACAACTACAACTACAGTTGCAGTACATCACACTACATCCAGCAGTTGTGGGGGAGGTGACCACTGCAACCATTGCAACCACTCCAGCAAACACAACTCCAACCACCTTTCGGTCAATCAGTGGATTCGCTCTGCCATCCGTGATTCACAACAACCAACGTCTCCTATAGGTTTCCTATTCTGAAACTTCCGCCACCGCCTTGTGCGGTACTACTGGTATACTTGAGATAAAAATTGGGATGAAAAAGTGGGTGATACATTGCATTACATTCCTACTATGATGAACTATGATGATATAATACCAATACCTATTGGCAATGGTAGAACTATTAACTATGGTGAAATAATTCTGGTAGAACTATATACCCCAATGACATGTTGACACAATCCCATGATATCCCATTTATTGGTTATATTACAACCGCGATAACTATGGTGGTTTAATGAGATGTAATTCAGATTCATTGGGATTTTAGTTGGGGATACATTGGGATTACATGGTGATGAAATAAGATATAGTTGGAATGTGATGGACTATACTTTTGGCCTTTCGGGGATTGACACAACAAAAATGGTGGTAGATGCAATGCGATATAGTGGGGATGTGATGAGGATCATTTGGAAGGATTGTAGCCACCTCACGGCCACGTCAGGACGTACGTGATAATTCATCCAGAATGTTGAAAACCCCTGGGTCAATTTTAACTGGGCGTGCGGGTAGCAAGTTTCATAGTAACTTATCACTACTTTCAGGGGACCTTTCGAATCGTTCTATATCAAGATTGATGGAACAAAGGATTAGAAGCGATCACAGTTTCACAAAAGATGATCTTGCAATGTTGTTTGCTGTTTGATGCTGTTTGCTATTACACTAAGTCACTAGGCTACATGCAGCGGCAAAAGCTGGGCGACCAAACATGGCCTCGAAGCGCCTCCCATCCATCTGTAGACTTTATCAGGCAGTCAACACTTCAAACAATCAGAAAGTGGAGCATACCATTTGTCTTTGCCTGGCCGGACTTCCCTTGACGAAGCCACACTCCGTATCCATTTCTTCACGGCACCAAACCTGCCCGGCTTGTTTTTCTGGCCTGACATCTGAGGTTCGATTGCATGGGGCTGAAGCTTCTGCACAGGAGAGCCAATGCAGGGCGCAACTTGATACGAGCCCAACAGATCCCAACAGTACACAAAATCGATAGGATTTGTGGATGTTCAGACTCCAAATATGGTATCATGCGTTTTGACCTAGGTTTTGCATTTGGTTTTGCCCATCCCTGCTTGGCAAAATGAAGTCGGTAATTTTGACACAGTTTTCTGAGATTTAGATTTTCGGATTTGGGATCGATTGGGATTCAAAAATTTTGAATCCGGCCAATCATGGGTTTGTCTGAAAATAGACCCCAAATTTCCAAGCCCATGAAATCTGACGGCATCTTCACGCACTGAGCATTGCCTCGGTCTGCCAGAACCTGTTTGGTGTGGTGAAGAACTTTCGGGAGGAACACTTAGAGGTCCCTGCAGGCTGGATTGGTTTCTGGTGGTTAATGTTAAAGTTAGCCTCCAAAGGCCATGTAGGAAACCAGAGAAACACCATGGAAAAATCTCTTTTCCATTCATTTGTAATCTCGGATCAGAGCGTTTGTCAGGTAAAGCCGAGCCACAGCCTTTTGTGAAGTTGGGACCTCGACTCGGGAGGGGAACTCGCCACGGAGTGATGTGGTAGACTCATGGGATTCCATCCATAGCGATTCAAATTCTTTCTGAGAATGATCTGATAATGATGTTCATAACCGTGAGAATATAACATCAAGAAAATACTGATATGGTATAATTACATAAAATATGTTGCGTCACAACGATGATATCTAAAATATGCTAAAGTAGTATAGAACGATAGTTACACAACTAGTAGTAGCACATGATGCTGTGAATAGATGTATATAAATAATAACAATTTTATCACAAAAACACATCAAGCAATGATGCAATGATGTAATGATGCTAAATTTTGCTGTGATTTGTAAAGACCCCCCAATGTCACGGCCGGGGGTTCGCTTGGAGTGCCGGAAAGTGGATCGCTTAGAGCGCCGGAAAGTGGATCGCTTGGAACGCCGAAAAGCGACACCCACAGAGACATAAGAGATAGACAGCGCTACAATTACATATAATATATACACAGACGTATAGACACAAAAATGAATGCATTCATACGCGCAGAAGCACTGAAGCACGCAGGTAGTGACATTGGCAGATGCCGTTCATGTAGGAGGAACGCACTGATATTAATGAAATTTAATGAATATTATATATTAGTGTGACATTTTGACAATGCCAGTTACAGTTTTTTCCCCCTATGCCAATCAACTCCCCATTTCTCTTGTTTTTTCTTTTACGTACAAAAAATCTCAGTGGCCCAGGGCTGGGCTTCCCTTGAACAGCGTGGTTCGAATCCTGAAGCTCCAGAAGCGGCCCGAGCTCAACGGTCAGCTGGGCACCGTGGTGGGCTGGGACACCTTTGAAGATCGATGTCAGGCCGGGCTACGCTGCAGGGGGTTTGAATCCCAACTAAAAGGCATGTTTTTTGAACATGGAGCGAACAACTGAATAAACTAGGGAGAGACTTTGGATAAGTAAAACATGTCTCTTGCTGAGCAGCCATTGCTTACGATCTCGTTTACAAGTATTGGGGAGGTGACAAATATATACATTTAAAAATCATTCTAATATGATAATACATATATGAATATGTTCACGATGCAGAACTACCCCATTTTGAAGCCCGTACCAGGATGGGCAGATGAGGGGCGGATGACGGGGCACATGCATCCATCTGGAATGAAAGAGACTTGCAAGATAACAGTTGAAGTGGTGCAGTGAAGCAATTGTGATTCCATAACCTGATTTTGTAAGAACTTGTTGCAGCCCTGTGTGCCTTATCAATATAGAATGACAAACATGCGGTCAGTTGCGTCCACATCGTCTGCTTAAATTTTGCCTTTGGAAGACAACCTTGAGAAATCACAAGAACAGTTTGCCTCTCGCCACAGGTTCGTTTGGTCGATGGGAGCGGTTTGCTTCTGAAGGAGCACGGGCACACGATGTGGGAATGGTTTGGATCCTTGTTGCAAAAGTGTAGCTGATTTACTGTAGTGCATCGTCCGAAGGCACGAAGGAAACCAACAGCAGCAACAACATCAACATCAACAGCAAGAACAACAACACCAACATCAACGCACACACACACACAAAGGATGGTCCTTTGCAGTAAACTGGGTCACCAACTTGGTGCAGATGTTTGGATGCTGGGAACGCTCAATTCCAATCTCACACCATTTGGAAAGACTTTGATAATTGATACAACTCTCCTTTGATGCTGGAATCACGAAATTCAGCTGGTTTTAAATTCCACTATATCTCCATGTTCCCTCCATTATTGCCGGCTTATATCATTTTCTATCCCCCTTTTTGCCAGTAAAACACCCACCATTTCCCCAAGCATTACTCCGATCACACATGATCAAACCTGGTAGGCCTGCAACATGGAACTTGTGTCTGGAGAGCCAGTGGGCGGATGGATGTGTTGATGGCAACCCAACATGGAAACCATGCAATCCCATGCATCACAAATTGGGGGCTCCGCCGCAATTGAACATGAACATGACAATCTTTTGCCATCCAACGGTATCTAACCGCTAAAGACCGGGGGTTTTCCTCTTGCCACGCAATGAATTAAAGCACAGGAACCATATTCAAACCACATTCAACCGAACCATCCGCTTTTTGCGGGTGCTCTTTTTGTCCCAAACCCAGGTCAGGAAACAGATTTCAGGTGCCGGACAGAGGTGCAACAGAGCTGGGACCCTGCAGTGCTAAGACCTACAGCATCCGACAGAATTATGGCAGAAAAGATGACAAAACGTTTTTTTTCTCCATAATTCTGTGAGCTGGAACATGTCCATCGATTCGCAGTTTGAAAGCATTTTACGGGGTCAAATTAAATTATGGAAAAGTTGGAAGCTATGTGTCTAAAGATCAGGTATATACATGTATATACCCCTTACGTTTGCCATTGATATACATAATATCATGTAATTAGTGTCGATCCATGACATGGCCCACAGGTGGACCCCCATTAATGATTGGGAAAAAACAACATAAACTAATTATAATTAATCTATATTAAAAACGGGTTAATTTGCTCCAACCCCCTGACTACACAGCAACAATCAGTTATGGAAAATCCTGGGCCGCTCGAAGAATTATGGAAAACAAGGTTCAGATCATATCCGGGAAATGTTGAATCATTACAAGACGAGGAAACCTAATTATGAAACAAAACGGAGACAGGCGAACTACTGTCTAAGTTAGACCTTTTTGTTTTGCCATAATTCTGTCGGCTACCATAGGGTATGAAACATAATGTGGGCGGAACCAAACAGGCTTTCAAACTGGCTACATCCGTCTATTGGAATCAGTTCACTACATGCTTGGTCCCTTCAACTACTGTACCATTAACCAGCTGTTTTTTCATGCAACAGTCAGGAGCCTCTAAAACTCCACCCGATCAGCAGGAGAGCCAAAGGAGCATCCCAGAGCCATACACCCTGGGACTTACAAGCAATGGGTTACGGATTGAAATTGAAACCTTTTCTTCCAGGGTGGCATTTCATAGGGGGAAGGCATGATTGAGCAAATGAGGTATAAGGCGGTACATCATGGCATATCACATCATATCACCATGAAGTACAAAATTATCAAGTACAAAAATCAGAGGAATATCATGGAATACCACCATGTATAGCAGATTATTCGATTACCTCAAGTTAGCTCCAAACCCTGAAGTTATCTTTGCAGCGCGGTTGCTAAGGCCACCCACTAGGTCGCCGCCAAAGCCTGACGAGGTGTCCCGAGTGGGCCACATGTTTCTTAAAGCACCCAGTTTTGGTGATCTTTGATGTTTCTTGAAAAAACACAGTTTTTGTTTGATGTTTTCTTTTTCAAAGGTGTAGTAATTAGTAAGCCGATTTTAGATGGTGGAAAAAGTATGAAAAAGTGATGATACAAATTCTTGGTCAGAAAAAAGTACCCTGAAACCAACCTTGACCCAGTCCTGAATGCCACCAGGAATTGAATCCATCACTAGTATTTAAACACGTTTCTCAAACCATCTCAAACCCAAATCTGGGGACTTCGGAAGCTTAGCCCTTCCCCATGCAGGGACCGTTGTCCTGTCAGGCGGTCAAGCCGTTGGGGTCGCCCAGCTGTGATTTGAACACTTTTGAAATCTCTCATTGCTATATCATTGATATCATGCTATATCAATAGGCATTAAACAGCATGAATGGATACTAGTGGATATTAATGTGCATTGGCTCACCCATGTTTTTGTTTTTGAGGACCAGCTCATTGTACCTTGAAGATCCTTGAAATGCCATTCTGTAGCTTTTTCTTCATGGAAAAACGCAAGAAACTCTTTCTGCTTTGACATCAACGCCATGAGCTATGTATCCAACAAATTCTTGCATGAGAAGAGTTGTACGTCACAGTCGGCCGCGAACTCCAACAATCGTTCACCAAGAATTGCAGCATTTTTGCCAAGAGAATCAAAGTATCCACGGTTTTCCGACAGCTGCAACTTGAATTCAAGTGGGTTAGCTACCGTTCGCTGATGTTAGAAACAGCCGTCCCCTGAGGCGTATCACACCAGATACCTTGGTGAAAATCAAGGGCATCAAGGTGGAGAGTCGCCGTTTCCACACGTTTGTCTTGATGGTGTTGCATAAACAGCACTTTTTCGGTGCTTAAGAATGTCAAAGAGCAGTTAGCCCTGCCATTTCAAGTGATGCTTCTGAAGGAAATCAGGACCCTGTTGGCACAGGATGGTTATCTCTCCGGTATAACGTTGTTTCGGAGCTGGCCAGGTTCGGCCCGAGCTCAACGGTCTGCAAGGCATGCAGATTAGATTAGACCCTGGTTGGATTCTGAACATGATTGGAAACTCCACAGATGAGAACTGTCCTGAGCCCATTGATGTCAAGAGGATTCAAGACTGCTTGACACTGATCATACAACTACCACGTAGTTTTCATTTACCTTGTCATACCTTGTCAACAACTTGCCAGAGGTAGCTTCACACTCTGCGACATTTATCCGGGATTTTTCTTACATTTTGTTTAGTATAATTATATCTGGTTAATATCAATACGATTTATGCAGGTATCGGTGTGACGCTATCTTCATAATTGCAGACACCTGGATAGCAACTTGTTGATCTCCTAAGCTCTGGGTTAACATCCCATTGGTTTAAGATTTAATACACCATTTTTGCACAGATATCCTCGGGTTGAGAATTAACATTCATTCCCCACCTGCCAGGTGAGGGTTGTTAGATTTTATCAGAGCTGTTCTCCTCCTCCTGCGCCTCCGCATCCTCCTCCTCCTCACCTCCTCCTCCTCCTCCGCCTCCTCCTCGCAGTCCAGATCCCAGTGGGCACAGCCGGACCTCCACCGCGAGGTCCAGATCCCAGTGGGCACTGCCGCAGTGGGCACTGCCGGACCTCAACCGCGAGCTCCAGATCCCAGTGGGCACTGCCGGACCTCAACCGCGAGCTCCAGATCCCAGTGGGCACTGCCGGACCTCAACCGCGAGCGCAGATCCCAGTGGGCACTGCCGGACCTCAACCGCGACTTCCAGATCGCAGTGGGCACTGCCGGACCTCAACCGCGACTTCCAGATCGCAGTGGGCACTGCCGGACCTCAACGGGAAGAAAAGATGTCAGATAGAATGTCAGAAGATATGCCAGAAAGAATGTCAGAAAGAATGTCAGAAGATATGCCAGACAGAATGTCAGAAGATATGCCAGAAAGAATGTCAGAAGATATGTCAGATAGAATGTCACAAGATATGCCAGATAGAATGCCAGAAAAATGTCAGAAGATATGCCAGATAAAATGTCAGATAGAATACCAGAAGATATGCCAGATAGAATGCCAGAAGATTTGCCAGATAGAATGCCAGAAGATATGCCAGAAGATATGCCAGAACATATGCCAGAAGATATGCCAGATAGAATGCCAGATAGAATGCCAGAAGATATGTCAGATAGAATGCCAGAAGGTTTGCCAGTAAGAAACTGTATAAATGTCATGGTGGGGATCATTCGAAGTGAAGTATTTTTTTTTTTAAGAGTTTCCCATGGGTTAAGAATGAACTTCCCAATTCAAAGATGTTTTCATATGTTTTCATAGGTTAAGAACTAATTCCATTTTTAAAGATTTTCCATGGTTAAAACAATCATATTCCTTTCCAACACACTTTTACCATTTGTTAAGAATTAACATCCAAACTCTCTCAGATTTTTCCATGGGATACGAATTAACCTCCCATTTGTTATTTTTGTTTTTCCATGGGTTAAAGAATTGACATTTCATTTCTCAAACAGTTCTCCAAGGGTTAAGAATTACCATCCCAATTGTTTAAAGATTTTTCCATGGTTTTAAGAATTAACATCCCAATTAAAAGATGCTTCCATGGGTTCAGAATTAGCATCCCATGTTTAAAGATTGTTCCATGGTTTTGAGAATTAACATCCCAATTAAAAGGTGCTTCCATGGGTTCAGACTTAGCATCCCATGTTTAAAGATTTTTCCATGGTTTTAAGAATTCACATCCCAATTACAAGATGCTTCCATGGGTTCAGAATTAGCATCCCATGTTTAAAGATTGTTCCATGGTTTTGAGAATTAACATCCCAATTAAAAGGTGCTTCCATGGGTTCAGACTTAGCATCCCATATTTAAAGATTGTTCCATGGTTTTAAGAATTTACATCCCAATTACAAGATGCTTCCATGGGTTCAGAATTAGCATCCCATGTTTAAAGATTGTTCCATGGTTTTAAGAATTAACATCCCAATTAAAAGATGCTTCCATGGGTTCAGAATTAGCACCCCATGATTAATGATTGTTCCATGGTTTTAAGAATTAACATCCCAATTAAAAGATGCTTCCATGGGTTCAGAATTAGCACCCCATGTTTAAAGATTTTTCCATGGTTTTAAGAATTAACAGATGCTTCCACGGGTTCAGAATTAGCATCCCATGTTCAATGATTTTTCCATGGTTTTAAGAATTTACATCCCAATTACAAGATGCTTCCATGGGTTCAGAATTAGCATCCCATGTTTAAAGATTGTTCCATGGTTTTAAGAATTAACACCCCAATTAAAAGATGCTTCCATGGGTTCAGAATTAGCATCCCATGTTTAAAGATTGTTCCATGGTTTTAAGAATTAACATCCCAATTAAAAGATGCTTCCATGGGTTCAGAATTAGCATCCCATGTTTAAAGATTGTTCCATGATTTTGAGAATTAACATCCCAATTAAAAGGTGCTTCCATGGGTTCAGACTTAGCATCCCATGTTTAAAGATGTTTCCATGGTTTTACGGTTTTAAGAATTAGCATCCCAATTAAAAGATACTTCCATGGGTTCAGAATTAGCATCCCAATTGTTTAAAGATTGTTCCATGGTTTTAAGAATTAACATCCCAATTAAAAGATGCTTCCATGGGTTCAGAATTAGCATCCCATGTTTAAAGATTGTTCCATGGTTTTAAGAATTAACATCGCAATTAAAAGTTGCTTCCATGGGTTCAGAATTAGCACCCCATGTTTAAAGATTGTTCCATGGTGTACGAATTAACATCCCATTAAAAGATGTGGGTTCAGAATTAGCATCCTATGTTAAAAGATTGTTCCATGGTTTTAAGAATTAACATACCAACTAAAAGATGCTTCCATGGGTTCAGAATTAGCATCCCATGTTTAAAGATTGTTCCATGGTTTTGAGAATTAACATCCCAATTACAAGATGCTTCCATGGGTTCAGACTTAGCATCCCATGTTTAAAGATTGTTCCATGGTTTTAAGAATTTACATCCCAATTACAAGATGCTTCCATGGGTTCAGAATTAGCATCCCGTGTTTAAAGATTGTTCCATGGTTTTAAGAATTAACATCGCAATTAAAAGATGCTTCCATGGGTTCAGAATTAGCATCCCATGTTTAAAGATTGTTCCATGGTGTAAGAATTAACATCCCAATTAAAAGATGTGGGTTCAGAATTAGCATCCTATGTTTAAAGATTGTTCCATGGTTTAAGATGAACATCCCAATTGAAGGATGTTTCCCCATGAGTTAAAGAATCACCATACCACCTGTTTAAAGATTTATCCATGGGTCAAAAGACACATTTTGGATGGCATAGATGCCCAATTCTGCAAATCTTTGAAACTTTTTGATCTCCTAAGCTGTGGGTTAACATCCCATTTGCAAAGACATACTTCCCATGTGTTAAGACTTACTATATCAAGTGATCAAGTGTTTAAAGATTGTTCCATGGTTTAAGATGAACATCCCAATTAAAATATGTTTCCCTATCGGTGAAAGAATGAACATCCCAATTTTGAAGATGTTTGCATCTGTTGAGAATTAGCATCACATTTTTTCTAAAATACTTTTCCATGGGTCAAAAGACACATTTTGGATGACTTTCCAGGCGTCGTCACCGCCTGGGATCCACCTTCAGAATCCTGGGCTGTTCAGCGCTGAGAGATGGGAGATCATCAGATTCCTGGAACACTACAGGGGAACCATCCCGATTCTTTGGGCATAATTTATGCTGATATAACGAGATATAGTGGGACTATAATGGTGATATCACGGGATGCAATGAGATATACTGTAATGGGGATATGATGAGGTTAATCCTGGATGAAGTACAACCACTTCGCTCGAGGTCATGACGTACATGATAGTTGATAAGGGGAGCCAGCAGTTTTTATAGTCTTTGAGGTGAGACCATATTTGACAAACTGGGGTTTATTAATGCCGGGCTTACATTAGGACTGTAAATGTTCCTTCGCTAGTTGTATGTTGTGGCATGTTTTTCGTCCCGTGAGATAAGAACACCCAGTCCAACGATCTTCTAAGAAGGATGTCCTTCAATTTTTCTATACCAAGATTGATCTTTCCATCATCAACGGATTAAAAGAAGCGAACAGAGCGACTCCCATCTGTAGACTTTATCAGGCAGACAACACTTCAAACACAATCAGAAAGTGGAGCATACCATTTGTGTTTTCTTGGCCGGACTTCCCTTGACGAAGCCACACTCCGTATCCATTTCTTCACGGCACCAAACTTGTCCCACTTGTTTTTTTTGCCTGACACCTGAGGTTCGATTGCATGGGGCTGAAGCCTCTGCACAGGAGAGCCAATTGATACGACCCCAACAATACACAAAATCGATAGGATCTGTGGATGTTCAGACTCCAAATATGGTATCATGCGTTTTGACCTCCCATCTCTGTTTGGCAAAATGAAGTCGGTAATTTTGACACAGCTTTCTGAGATTGAGATTTTCGGATTTGGGATCGATTGGGATTCAAAAATTTTGAATCCGGCCAATCATGGGTTTGTCTGAAAATAGACCCCAAATTTCCAAGCCCATGAAATCTGACAGCATCTTCACGCACTGAGCATTGCCTCGGTCTGCCAGAACCTCTTTGGTGTGGTGAAGAACTTTCGGGAGGAACACTTAGAGGTCCCTGCAGGCTGGAGCGGTTTCTGGTGGTTAATGTTAAAGTTAGCCTCCAAAGGCCATGTAGGAAACCAGAGAAACACCATGGAAAAATCTCTTTTCAATTCATTTGTAATCTCGGATCAGAGCGTTTGTCAGGCGAAGCCGAGCCACAGCCCTTTGTGAAGTTGGGACCTCGACTCGGGAGGGGAACTCGCCACGGAGTGATGTGGTAGACTCATGGGATACCATCAATAGTGATTTGAACATATTTTACAACCATTCCGAAAACTATATGATATGACAATAGTATTCATACCATAATAGAGAATCATGATATTGTTTACGTTATATGAGTCATATATGTCTAGAGACTAGTAGTAATGACAGACATTGACAGACATATGTACAAGGACATAATTACACAACTAATAACTGTTAATAACTAATAATAACACACGATATTGTATAGTAATAAGCTTATCAAACACATATCATGCAATAGTGATGCAATGATAATACATTTTTCGCTGTAGTTTTTAAATACCGCCCAATGTCACATTGGGCAAATGGGGTATAGTTTAGTATCGGGTTTGCCTCAGTAGAGATGTTCACGTATGAGAAACGGTAGAACCGCACTGAATATTATTAGAGTGACAATCTTCCAATTCCAGTAAAAGTATTTTTTCGCTATGTCAACATGCAAAGTTTTGGATCCCATTGTGATTGGGACCTGGGAAGTACCTGGCCATATTAGCAAGGATGTGAAGATGTTGGAACTATGCATACACAAATATACACAACCTTGGTTTCAAAGACTGAACAGGCTCTCCAGTTTGTCTTCTGCTGTTTCTCAAACGGATGAAACAGTTTCACCACTATGGTGAATTGTGCAGAGGTCAAACCTCGGCCAGATAAGTTGGTTTGCAGAATGTTCGGTTAGCTATTTCAGGTCCTCCGTTAATATCTTCCAAACACAACTGCCACCCATCCCCATTCCCATTTCTTTGCAGCTGAATAGTGAATTTACATGAAATTACGTTGCATGTTTATCATTGTTTATCCTTATTTTACTCGTATCAACTCCCCATTTCTCTTGTTTTTTCTTTTACGTACAAAAATTCTCAGTGGCCCAGGGCTGGGCTTCCGTTGAACAGCGTGGTTCGAATCCTGAAGCTCCAGAAGCGGCCCGAGCTCAATGGTCAGCTGGGCACCGTCGTGGGCTGGGACACCGTGGAAGATCGATGTCAGGCCAGGCTATGCTGCAGTGGAGATGGGGGTTTGAGTCCAAACGAAAAGGCATGTTTTCTTGAAGAATAAAGGGAAACATGCAATAACATAGTGAGATACTTTGGGTAATTAACGTATGTTTCATGTTTATTGCTGAGCAGCCATTACTTACAATCTCGTTTGCAAATATATTAGGGAGGTGACAAATGAATTAAACTATTCTTATAAATCATTTAAAATGAATGACAACATGGAATGACAAGCATGCGGTCAGTTGCGTCGGTCAGTTGCGTCCACATCGTCTGGTTGCATTTTGCCTTTGGAAGACAACCTTGAGAAATCACAAGAACAGTTTGCCTCTCGCCACAGGTTCGTTTGGTCGATGGGAGCGGTTTGCTTCTGAAGGAGCACGGGCACACCACGTGGGAATGGCTTGGATCTTTGTTCCGAAAGTGTGGCTGATTTACTGTTTTTGTTGTAGTGCATTGTCCGAAGAAACGAAGGAAGCCAACAACAACAACATCATCATCATCATCATCATCACCACAAACAACAACAAGCAACATCCAACAGTCAACAGCCAACAACCAACAACCAACAGCAACAGCAACAGCAACAACCACCACCACCACCACCACCACCAGCAGCAGCAGCAGCACCAGCACCAGCACCAGCACCAGCACCAGCACCAGCACCAGCACCAGCACCAGCACCAGCACCACAACAACAACAACAACCACAACCACAACCACAACCACAACAACAACAACAACAACCACAACACCCACAACACCCACAACACCCACGACACCAACAACACCAACACCAACACCAACACCAACACCAACACCAACACCAACACACAGGATGGTCCTTTGCAGCAAACTGGGTCACCAACTTGGTTCAGACATTTGGATGCTCGGAAAGTTCGATTCCAATATCACACCATTTGGAAAGACTTTCATGATTTATACAACTCTCCGAGGAGTAACTCTCCTTTGATGTTGGCATGACGAAGTTCAGTTGGCTATAAATCCCACTGATATCTCCACTTTCCCACCATTATTGCTGGCCAATATCCCAATTTTTTGTATTTTCATGTATTTTCACAAACATCACTCCGATCAAACCTTGTAGGCCTGCAACATTGAACTTGTGTCCGGAGAGCCAGTGGGCGGATGGGTATGTTGATCGTCCACGTTTTTATACCTGTAGTGAAAGATTCTACCCGCTGGCAACCCAACATGGCAATGAAGCATTTCGATTCATTGGTTGATGATTTGTTCCACCTGATCTCACATTTCGGGTTCAGAAAATTGAACCTGACGATCTCTTGCCATCCAACGCTATCGCCAAAGACGGTGGATGATTTTTTCCCACACCCAAGGTCGGGAAACGGATTTCACATGCCGGACGGAGGTGCAACAGAGCTGGGACCCTGCAGTGCTAAGACTTAGGGCATCCAATCGTCCACCTACTAATCTACTGAACATCTACTGAACATAATGTTGGTGGAACCAAACAGGCTTTCAAACTGACTACGTTCACGATCTTATCTTATCTTATCTTATCCTATCTCATCCCATCCCATCCTATCTATCCTATCTTATCTTATCTTATCCTATCCTATCCCATCCTATCCTATCCATCTATCTATCTAGATTATCTCTCTATCTATCCTATTCTATTCTATTTTATCCTATCTATCTATCTGTCTGTCTGTCTGTCTGTCTGTCTTACTTATCTATCTATCTTATCTTATCTATCTATCTTATCTTATCTCATCTAATCTTATCTTATCTTATTGTATCCTATTCTATCCTGTTCTATCTTATTCTATCTTATTCTATCTTATTCTAATTCTATCTATTTCTATCTATTTCTATCTAATTCTATCTAATTCTATCTAATTCTATCAAATTCTATCTGATTCTATCTGATTCTATCTAATTCTATCTAATTCTATCTAATTCTATCCAATTCTATATCTAATTCTATCTAATCCTATCTAATTCTATCTAATTCTATCTAATTCTATCTAATTCTATCTAATTCTATCTAACTCTATCTAATTCTATCCAATTCTATCTAATTCCATCCATCGATCTATCGATCTATCGATCTATCTATCTATCTACCTATCTATCTATCTATCTTATCTTATCTATATCTATATCTATATCTAGAATATCTATATCTATATCTATCTATCTATCTATCTATCTATCTGTCTATCTATCTATCTATCTATCTAATTCTATCTATCTAATTCTATCTATCTAATTCTATCTATCTAATTCTATCTATCTATCAATCATATCATATTATATCATATCCTATCATATCCGATCATATCCGATCATATCCGATCATATCCTATCATATCCTATCATATCCTATCCTATCCTATCATATCCTATCAGTCTATCAATCTATCTATCTATCAATCAATCTATCTATCTATCTGTCTATCTATCTATCTATCCATCCATCCATCCATCTATCCATCTGGGTCCCGTAAACTACCATAAAATGGCTGCTTTTGAATGTGATTTGTTTTGGGGCTCCATCTTAAACCAGGGGCACCAACCAACAGTCAGGAGCCTCTAAAACTTCACCCGATCGGCCGGAGAGCCTAAGGAATTGCTTGTGCTCAATAGGGAGCCGGGAGATTTGTTGACTTTTGGCCGAATTTTTGGGTCACGACGCAAAACAAGAATCTAGTCATGTTCAGTCTGAACAATTTCCTACACCTTGTTTTTTTTAGGATGAAAATTAATTTTTGTAAACCCCAAACCATACACCATTCCCAATGACTTACAAACAATGATTTGGTCTGAAATTGAAACCTGCTTTTCCACAGTGGCATTTCACTATAGGGGAAAGGAATCATGAATCATTGGGTGTATCATATTATTTTTACTTGCCTACTAATTTCGCATGCATCGCCCTTTAGTCATTGACTTATTGAGCAAATGAGGTGTAATGAGGTATATATCACGGTATATCAACATGAATTACAAATGATGGTGATATACCCCACGAATTCAAATTTTAATCACGATTAAATTACCTCAAATTTATTCAAGTTTGCTCCAAACCCTGAAGTTATTTTGTCAGAATTTCAGCACGGTCGCTAAGGCCACCCACTGGGTCGCCAAAGCCTGACGAGGTGCCTGAGATGAGAGTGGGCCACTGCTAAAATGCACCCAATTATAATGATCTTTGAGTCTGTGCTGTTTCTTGAAGTTTTTCCCAGTTTTTTGATGTTTTTTATTGAAAGGTGTAGCAGCCGATTTTAGATGGTGGAAAAAGTGATGATGAAAATTCTTGGTCAGAAAGGAGTACCCTGAAACCAAGATTGACCCATTCCTGAACGCCACCAGGAATTGAATCCACAACTAGTATTTAGACACGTTTCTCAAACCATCTCAAACCCAAATCTGGAGACTTCGGAAGCTTAGCCCTTCCCCATGCAGGGACCGTTGTCCTGTCAGGCGGTCAAGCCGTTGGGGTCGCCCAGCTGTGATTTGAACACTTTTGAAATCTCTTATTGCTATATCATTGATATCATGCTATATCAATAGGCATTAAACGGCATTAATGGATACTAGTGGATATTAGTGGGCATTGGCTCACCCATGTTTGTGTTTTTGAGGACCAGCTCACTGTACCTTGAAGATCCTTGAAGTGTCATTCTGTAGCTTTTTCTTCATGTAAAAAGGTAAGAGAAACCATTTCTGCTTTGACATCAACGCCATGAGCTATGACACATCCAACAAATTCTTGCATGAGAAGAGTTGGATGTCACAGCCGGCCGCGAACTCCAACCATCGCCCACCAAGAATTGCAGCATTTTTGCCAAGAGAATCGAAGTATCCACGGTTTTCCGACAGCTTCAACTTGATTTGAATTCAAGTGGGTTAGCTGATGTTGGACACAATGTTTCGATTTAAGGGTCCTCAGGAACGCTCAATGCGAATTCTTTAAGTTATCTTTTCGGCACGGTCGCTAAGGCCACCCACTGGGTCGCCAAAGCCTGACGAGGTGCCTGAGATGAGAGTGGGCCACTGCTAAAATGCACCCAATTATAATGATCGTTGAGTCTTTGATGTTTCTTGAAGTTTTGCAGAGTACTATTATTATTATTATTTTATTTTATGTTTTTTCATGTTTTCTTTTTGAAGGGTGTAGTAGCCGATTTTAAAGTGATGATGAAGATTCTTGGTCAGAAAGGAGTACCCTGAAACCAAGATTGACCCATTCCTGAACGCCACCAGGAATTGAATCCACAACTAGTATTTAGACACGTTTCTCAAACCATCTCAAACCCAAATCTGGGGACTTCGGAAGCTTAGCCCTTCCCCATGCAGGGACCGTTGTCCTGTCAGGCAGTCAAGCCGTTGGGGTCGCCCAGCTGTGATTTGAACACTTTTGAAATCTCTTATTGCTATATCATTGATATCATGCTATATCAATCGGCATTGAACAACTTTTTTTTGTGATGCGGCCTACAGGCAACTTCTATAACATGAAAAAAACATAAGATGAGTTAAAAAAACAAAACCACATCCCAAAAAAAGCAAAACCTAATCGAAACCTAATCAAGAAAAAAGCAAAAAATAGAAAATCAATCAGAACAGCATAAAAGAAAAAGCAAAACACAAAGCAACAAAAAAGCAAATCCGAAAGCAAAAAAGCAAAACCAAAAGCAAAAAAAAAGCAGATCCAATATACAAAATAATATGTTTTTTTCCTTTTTTCCTGAGGCGTCTTACATTTTCGAATATCCTGTTCACCAGGTCAGCTGCAAAAGAAAAAACAACACGAGGAAAAACAAGTGAAAAATAACAAAACAAAAAGCAATAAAGACGGGAAAAAAACAACCACATATATTTGTGTATATTGGATTTGCTAAAACAATATTTGCTTTTATTTTGCCTTTCTTTTACTTTCGTTTTGTTTTTTTCTTAATAGTGGTTTGCTTTTGTTGCTTTTGTTTTTGGTTTCTTCAAACAGTTTTTTTTCCCGCATTTGTTTTTGTTTTTTTTGTTGTTTTTTTGAATCCTTAGAAGTAGCCTTGAGGATCCTTGAGGTACTTCACAAGCATTAATGGATATTAGTGGATATTCATGGGCATTGGCTCAGGCTTACCATGCTTTTTTCTTGAGGACCAGATCACCGTACCTTGACGTGTCATTCTGTAGCGTTTTCTTCATGGAAAACCGTAAGAGAAACTCTTTCTGCTTTGAAATCGACGCCCTGAGCTATGTATGCAATTGCATGAGACGAGTCGTATGTCACAGCCGGCCGCGAACTCCAATATAATTTTCCGCCAAGACACGCAGCATTTTGCTGAATCCGCTTCAACTTCAATTGGATTAGCTGATGTTAGAAACATTTAGAAACAATGTTTCAATTTGTTTACTGTACTTTGGACCTTTCAATCCCTAATTTATGATCATGTTTTCCCTTGAGGCGTATCGCACCAAATATCTTGGTGAGAATCAAGGGCATCAAGGTGGAGAGTCGCCGTTTTCACACGTTTGTCTTGATGGTGTTGCATAAACAGCACTTTTTCGGCGCAGAATGTCAAAGACAAATTGGCCCTGCCATTTTAAGTGATGCTTCCGAAGGAAATCAGAACCCTGTTGGCACAGGATGGTCCAGGTACGTGCAGGTACGTATAGGACAGGAAATATTTTCATTATCTATTTGTCCGGTATATAGAATCTATTTTTGTTGGGTTTTATTATCACTACTTGTCGCATCCTTGTTTCGGAGCTGGCCAGGTTCGGCCCGAGCTCAACGGTCTGCAAGGCATGCAGATTAGATTAGACCCTGGTTGGATTCTGAACATGATTGGAAACTCCTCAGATGAGAACTGTCCTGAGCCCATTGATGTCAAGAGGATTCAAGACTGCTTGACATTGATTATACAACCACGACATAATTATCGTTTACCATGTCAACAACTTGCCAGAGGTAGCTTCACACTCTGCTCAATTTCTCCAGGATTTTTCTTGCATTTTATTTAGTATGATTAGACTTGATTAGACTATACATTATGGTTAAGTTATATAAATCAGATTATATAAATATAACTATACTATAAACTATGAATATTTTAAATAGTATATTGTGTATATAGATCATACGCATTATACAGGTCGATATGACGCTATCTTTCACAATTGCATACCCCTGGATGGCATAGATGCCCAATTCTGCAAATCTTTGAAACTTTTTGATTTCCTAAGCTGTAGGTTAACATCCCATTTGCAAAGACATACTTCCCATGTGTTAAGACTTACCTTACCAAGTGTTTAAAGATGTTTCCATGGTTTAAGAATGAACATCCCAATTAAAAGATGTATCCATGGGTTCAGAATTAGCATCCTATGTCTAAAGATTGTTGTTCCATGGTTTAAGATGAACATACCAATTAAAGGATGTTTCCCTATGAGTTAAAGAATCACCATACCACCTGTTTAAAGACTCCATGGGTCAAAAGACACATTTTGGATGACTTTCCAGGCGTCGTCACCGCCTGGGATCCACGTGAAGAATCCTGGGCTGTTCAGCGCTGAGAGATGGGAGATCATCATATATTCCTGGAACACTACAGGGGAACCATCCCAATTCTTTGGGCATAATTTATGCTGATATAACGAGATATAGTGGGACTATAATTCTCGGGCTTTAAGCAACAAACATGGTCATATCATTGGATACAATGAGATATAATGGGGATATGATGAGGTTAATCCTGGATGAAGTACAACCACTTCAATTTTTGTTCTACATCAAGATTGATGTTTCCATCATCAACGGATTAAAAGAAGCGGACAGAGCGACTCCCATCTGTAGACTTTATCAGGCAGTCAACACTTCAAACAATCAGAAAGTGGAGCATACCATTTGTCTTTGCTTGGCCGGACTTCCCTTGACGAAGCCACACTCCGTATCCATTTCTTCACGGCACCAAACCTGCCCCGCTTGTTTTTCTGGCCTGACATCTGAGGTTCGATTGCATGGGGCTGAAGCTTCTGCACAGGAGAGCCAATGCAGGGCGCAACTTGATACGACCCCAACAGATCCCAACAGTACACAAAATCGATAGGATTTGTGGATGTTCAGACTCCAAATATGGTATCACGCGTTTTGACCTAGGTTTTGCATTTGGTTTTGCCCATCCCTGCTTGGCAAAATGAAGTCGGTAATTTTGACACAGTTTTCTGAGATTTAGATTTTCGGATTTGGGATCGATTGGGATTCAAAAATTTTGAATCCGGCCAATCATGGGTTTGTCTGAAAATAGACCCCAAATTTCCAAGCCCATGAAATCTGACGGCATCACGCACTGAGCATTGCCTCGGTCTGCCAGAACCTCTTTGGTGTGGTGAAGAACTTTCGGGAGGAAGACTTAGAGGTCCCTGCAGGCTGGAGCGCTTTCTGGTGGTGAATGTTAAAGTTAGCCTCCAAAGGCCATGTAGGAAACCAGAGCGTTTGTCAGGTGAAGCTGAGCCACAGCCCTTTGTGAAGTTGGGACCTCGACTCGGGAGGGGAACTCGCCACGGACTGATGTGGTAGACTCATGGGATACCATCAATAGTGATTTGAAATGATTTGAACATATTTTACAACCATTCCGAAAACTATATGATATGACAATAGTATTCATACCATAATCTAGCCTGATCCAAGTTAATCCTTAATGATTACCCGGTTTACGGATTAGCGGTTTACGGATTAGCCCGCGGACCGGGGCACAGGTTCCACATTAAGTATTTAAAATTAAAGGTTTTGGGGCCTTCTTTCTTCCAAACAGCATTTACCTTTCGGCCTCAGCAAATCCAAACCCCCGGGAAGCAGAAATCAGGCCGAAAGTGCTTAAAAGGGGTTTGCTCTGGCAGGAATCAGGCCGAAAGTGCTTAAAAGGGGTTTGGCGGTGGACTTGCCAGAGCAAACCCCTTTTAAGCAGAAATCAGGCCGAAAGTGCTTAAAAGGGGTTTGGCGGTGGACTTGCCAGAGCAAACCCCTTTTAAGCAGAAATCAGGCCGAAAGTGCTTAAAAGGGCTTTGGCGGTGGACTTGCCAGAGCAAAGCCCTTTTAAGCAGAAATCAGGCCGAAAGTGCTTAAAAGGGCTTTGGCGGTGGACTTGCCAGAGCAAAGCCCTTTTTAGCAGAAATCAGGCCGAAAGTGCTTAAAAGGGCTTTGGCGGTGGACTTGCCAGAGCAAAGCCCTTTTCAGCAGAAATCAGGCCGAAAGCGCTTAAAAGGGCTTTGGCGGTGGACTTGCCAGAGCAAAGCCCTTTTTAGCAGAAATCAGCCCGAAAGTGCTTAAAAGGGCTTTGGCGGTGGACTTGCCAGAGCAAAGCCCTTTTAAGCAGAAATCAAGCCGAAAGTGATTAAAATGGCTTTGCCGGTGGACTTGCCAAAGCAAAGCCCTTTTTAGCAGAAATCAGCCCGAAAGTGCTTAAAAGGGCTTTGGCGGTGGACTTGCCAGAGCAAAGCCCTTTTCAGCAGAAATCAGGCCGAAAGCGCTTAAAAGGGCTTTGGCGGTGGACTTGCCCAGACAAAGCCCTTTTTTAGGCAGAAATCAAGGCCGAAAGTGGCTTCAAAGGGCTTTGGCGGTGGACTTGCCAGAGCAAAGCCCTTTTTAGCAGAAATCAGGCCGAAAGTGCTTAAAAGGGCTTTGCCGGTGGACTTGCCAGAGCAAAGCCATTTTTAGCAGAAATCAGCCCGAAAGTGCTTAAAAGGGCTTTGGCGGTGGACTTGCCAGAGCAAAGCCCTTTTAAGCAGAAATCAGGCCGAAAGTGCTTAAAAGGGCTTTGGCGGTGGACTTGCCAGAGCAAAGCCCTTTTTAGCAGAAATCAGGCCGACAAAGTGCTTAAAAGGGCTTTGGCGGTGGACTTGCCAGAGCAAAGCCCTTTTAAGCAGAAATCAGGCCGAAAGTGCTTAAACGGGCTTTGGCGGTGGACTTGCCAGAGCAAAGCCCTTTTTAGCAGAAATCAGGCCGAAAGTGCTTAAAAGGGCTTTGGCGGTGGACCTGCCAGAGCAAAGCCCTTTCTAGCAGAAATCCGCCCGAAAGTGCTTCAAAGGGCTTTGGCGGTGGACTTGCCAGAGCAAAGCCCTTTTTAGCAGAAATCAGGCCGAAAGTGCTTAAAAGGGCTTTGGCGGTGGACTTGCCAGAGCAAAGCCCTTTTTAGCAGAAATCAGGCCGAAAGTGCTTCAAAGGGCTTTGGCGGTGGACTTGCCAGAGCAAAGCCCTTTTTAGCACTTATCAGCCCGAAAATGCTTAAAAGGGCTTTGGCGGTGGACTTGCCAGAGCAAAGCCCTTTTAAGCAGAAATCAGGCCGAAAGTGCTTAAAAGGGCTTTGGCGGTGGACTTGCCAGAGCAAAGCCCTTTTAAGCAGAAATCAGCCCGAAAGTGCTTAAAAGGGCTTTGGCGGTGGACTTGCCAGAGCAAAGCCCTGTTTAGCAGAAATCAGCCCGAAAGTGCTTAAAAGGGCTTTGGCGGTGGACTTGCCAGAGCAAAGCCCTTTTAAGCAAAAATCAGCCCGAAAGTGCTTAAAAGGGCTTTGGCGGTGGACTTGCCAGAGCAAAGCCCTTTTAAGCAGAAATCAGCCCCGAAAGTGCTTAAAAGGGCTTTGGCGGTGGACTTGCCAGAGCAAGGCCCTTTTTTAAGCCGAAATCAGGCCGAAAGTGCTTAAAGTGCTTTGGCGGGGACTTGCCAGAGCAAGCCCTTTTTAGCAGAATCGGGCCGAAAGTGCTTCAAGGGCTTTGGAAGGGGACTTGCCAGAGCAAGCCCTTTTAGCAGAAATCAGCCCGAAAGTTCTTAAAGGGTTTGCCGGTGGACTTGCCCAGAGCAAAGCCCTTTTAAGCATAAATCAGTCCCGAAAGTGCTTGAAAAGGGCTTTGGCGGTGAACTTGCCAGAGAGCACAGCCCTTTTTAGCATAAATCCCAGGCCGAACGTGCCTTCAAAGGGCTTTGGCGTGGACTTGCCAGAGCAAAGCCCTTTTAAGCAGAAATCAGGCCGAAAGTGCTTAAAAGGGCTTTGGCGGTGGACTTGCCAGAGCAAAGCCCCTTTAAGCAGAAATCAGGCCGAAAGTGCTTAAAAGGGCTTTGGCACTGGACTTGCCAGAGCAAAGCCCTTTTAAGCAGAAATCAGGCCGAAAGTGCTTAAAAGGGCTTTGGCGGTGGACTTGCCAGAGCAAAGCCCCTTTAAGCAGAAATCAGGCCGAAAGTGCTTAAAAGGGCTTTGGCGGTGGACTTGCCAGAGCAAAGCCCTTTTTAGCAGAAATCAGGCCGAAAGTGCTTCAAAGGGCTTTGGCGGTGGACTTGCCAGAGCAAAGCCCTTTTGAGCAGAAATCAGCCCGAAAGTGCTTAAAAGGGCTTTGGCGGTGGACTTGCCAGAGCAAAGCCCTTTTTAGCAGAAATCAGCCCGAAAGTGCTTAAAAGGGCTTTGGCGGTGGACTTGCCAGAGCAAAGCCCTTTTAAGCAGAAATCAGGCCGAAAGTGCTTAAAAGGGCTTTGGCAGTGGACTTGCCAGAGCAAAGCCCTTTTAAGCAGAAATCAGGCCGAAAGTGCTTAAAAGGGCTTTGGCGGTGGACTTGCCAGAGCAAAGCGCTTTTTAGCAGAAATCAGGCCGAAAGTGCTTAAAAGGGCTTTGGCGGTGGACTTGCCAGAGCAAAGCCCTTTTAAGCAGAAATCAGCCCGAAAGTGCTTAAAAGGGCTTTGGCGGTGGACTTGCCAGAGCAAAGCCCTTTTTAGCAGAAATCAGCCCGAAAGTGCTTAAAAGGGCTTTGGCGGTGGACTTGCCAGAGCAAAGCCCTTTTAAGCAGAAATCAAGCCGAAAGTGCTTAAAAGGGCTTTGGCGGTGGACCTGCCAGAGCAAACCCCTTTTAAGCAGAAATCAGGCCGAAAGTGCTTAAAAGGGCTTTGGCGGTGGACTTGCCAGAGCAAAGCCCTTTTAAGCAGAAATCCGCCCGAAAGTGCTTAAAAGGGCTTTGGCGGTGGACTTGCCAGAGCAAAGCCCTTTTCAGCAGAAATCAGGCCGAAAGCGCTTAAAAGGGCTTTGGCGGTGGACTTGCCAGAGCAAAGCCCTTTTTAGCAGAAATCAGGCCGAAAGTGCTTAAAAGGGCTTTGGCGGTGGACTTGCCAGAGCAAAGCCCTTTTAAGCAGAAATCAGGCCGAAAGTGCTTAAAAGGGCTTTGGCGTGGACTTGCCAGAGCAAAGCCCTTTTAAGCAGAAATCAGGCCGAAAGTGCTTAAAAAGGGCTTTGGCGGTGGACTTGCCAGAGCAAAGCCCTTTTTAGCAGAAATCAGCCCGAAAGTGCTTAAACGGGCTTTGGCGGTGGACTTGCCAGAGCAAAGCCCTTTTTAGCAGAAATCAGGCCGAAAGTGCTTAAAAGGGCTTTGGCGGTGGACTTGCCAGAGCAAAGCCCTTTTTAGCAGAAATCAGGCCGAAAGTGCTTAAAAGGGCTTTGGCGGTGGACTTGCCAGAGCAAGGCTGATTTCTGCTAAAAAGGGCTTTGGCGGTGGACTTGCCAGAGCAAAGCCCTTTTTAGCAGAAATCAGGCCGAAAGTGCTTAAAAGGGCTTTGGCGGTGGACTTGCCAGAGCAAAGTCCTTTTAAGCAGAAATCAGGCCGAAAGTGCTTAAAAGGGCTTTGGCGGTGGACTTGCCAGAGCAAAGCCCTTTTAAGCAGAAATCAGGCCGAAAGTGCTTAAAAGGGCTTTGGCGGTGGACTTGCCAGAGCAAAGCCCTTTTTAGCAGAAATCGGGCCGAAAGTGCTTAAAAGGGCTTTGGCGGTGGACTTGCCAGAGGAAAGCCCTTTTTAGCAGAAATCAGCCCGAAAGTGCTTAGAAGGGCTTTGGCGGTGGACTTGCCAGAGCAAAGCCCTTTTAAGCAGAAATCAGCCCGAAAGTGCTTAAAAGGGCTGCTTAAAAGGGCTTTGGCGGTGGACTTGCAGCGTCATGCGCGTCTGCGTTTCGCGCGGGTTCCGCGCGTGTTGTTCTGCGCGAGTTCCGCGCGTGTCGTCGCATTCAAATTTCATCAAGAAATTAATACATTGAGACGAATATTATTACTATTTCTACTAATTAATTATATTTTAATTTAACAAACATTACGATTAGTATCATTTCTACTACATCTATGATATCATTACTACTGCTACTACTACTACTACTACTACTAGTACTACTACTACTACTACTGCTACTACTACTACTATTACTACTACTACTACTACCACTACTACTACTATTACTACTACTACTACTACTACTACTACTACTACTACTACTACTATACTACTACTAGAAGTATGACCACGCGCGGGTTCCGCGCGTTATGCGCGTCTGCGTTTCGCGCGGGTTCCGCGCGTGTTGTTCTGCGCGGGTTCCGCGCGCGTCGTCACATTCAAATTTCTCAAGAAATTAATATATTGAGACGAATATTAGACTACTATTTCTACTAATTCTAATTTAACAAATATTACGATTAGTATCATTTCTACTACATCTATGATATCATTACTACTACTACTACTACTACTACTACTACCACCACTACTACTACTACTACTACTACTACTATACTACTACTAGAAGTATGAGTACGCGCGGGTTCCGCGCGCTATGCGCGTCTGCGTTTCGCGCGGGTTCCGCGCGTGTTGTTCTGCGCGGGTTCCGCGCGCGTCGTCGCATTCAAATTTCTTCAAGATATTTATATATTGAGACGAATATTATTATTATTTCTAATTCTACTAATTGCAACTTAACAAATATTACGATTAGTATCATTTCTACTACTACTACTACTACCACTACTACTACTACTACTAACTACTACTACTACTACTACTACTACTACTACTACTACTACTAGTAGAAGTATGAATAGTACGCGCGGGTTCCGCGCGTCATGCGCGTCTGCGTTTCGCGCGGGTTCCGCGCGTGTTGTTCTGCGCCAAATCCCTTTTAAGCACTTTCGGCCTGATTTCTGCGTAAAAGGGCTTTGCTCTGGCAAGTCCACCGCCAAAGCCCTTTTAAGCACTTTCGGCCTGATTTCTGCTTAAAAGGGGTTTGCTCTGGCAAGTCCACCGCCAAAGCCCTTTAAGCACTTTCGGCCTGATTTCTGCTTAAAAGGGCTTTGCTCTGGCAAGTCCACCGCCAAAGCCCTTTTAAGCACTTTCGGGCTGATTTCTGCTCAAAAGGGCTTTGCTCTGGCAAGTCCACCGCCAAAGCCCGTTTAAGCACTTTCGGCCTGATTTCTGCTAAAAAGGGCTTTGCTCTGGCAAGTCCACCGCCAAACCCCTTTTAAGCACTTTCGGCCTGATTTCTGCTTAAAAGGGGTTTGCTCTGGCAAGTCCACCGCCAAAGCCCTTTTAAGCACTTTTGGCCTGATTTCTGCTTAAAAGGGGTTTGCTCTGGCAAGTCCACCGCCAAAGCCCTTTTAAGCACTTTCGGCCTGATTTCTGCTTAAAAGCGCTTTGCTCTGGCAAGTCCACCGCCAAAGCCCTTTTAAGCACTTTCGGCCTGATTTCTGCTAAAAAGGGCTTTGCTCTGGCAAGTCCAGCGCCAAAGCCCTTTTAAGCACTTTCGGCCTGATTTCTGCTTAAAAGGGCTTTGCTCTGGCAAGTCCACCGCCAAAGCCCTTTTAAGCACTTTCGGCCTGATTTCTGCTAAAAAGGGCTTTGCTCTTTGGCAAGTCCACCGCCAAAGCCCTTTTAAGCACTTTCGGGCTGATTTCTGCTAAAAAGGGCTTTGCTCTTTGGCAAGTCCACCGCCAAAGCCCTTTTAAGCACTTTCGGGCTGATTTCTGCTAAAAAGGGCTTTGCTCTGGCAAGTCCACCGCCAAAGCCCTTTTAAGCACTTTCGGGCTGATTTCTGCTCAAAAGGGCTTTGCTCTGGCAAGTCCACCGCCAAAGCCCTTTGAAGCACTTTCGGCCTGATTTCTGCTAAAAAGGGCTTTGCTCTGGCAAGTCCACCGCCAAAGCCCTTTTAAGCACTTTCGGCCTGATTTCTGCTTAAAAGGGGTTTGCTCTGGCAAGTCCACCGCCAAAGCCCTTTTAAGCACTTTCGGCCTGATTTCTGCTAAAAAGGGCTTTGCTTTGGCAAGTCCACCGGCAAACCCCTTTTAATCACTTTCGGCCTGATTTCTGCTTAAAAGGGCTTTGCTCTGGCAAGTCCACCGCCAAAGCCCTTTTAAGCACTTTCGGCCTGATTTCTGCTTAAAAGGGGTTTGCTCTGGCAAGTCCACCGCCAAAGCCCTTTGAAGCACTTTCGGCCTGATTTCTGCTTAAAAGGGGTTTGCTCTGGCAAGTCCACCGCCAAACCCCTTTGAAGCACTTTCGGCCTGATTTCTGCTTAAAAGGGGTTTGCTCTGGCAAGTCCACTGCCAAACCCCTTTTAAGCACTTTCGGGCTGATTTCTGCTTAAAAGGGGTTTGCTCTGGCAAATCCACCGCCAAACCCGGCCGAAGCACTTTCGCCGTGATTTCTGGTTCCCAGATTGGAAACGTCACCGTCCTATCTATGCTTTTAACCGGATTACGGATTACGGATTCGACTCTTTGGGGCTTCTGAGACGGATTCCGGGATTACGGATTAAGGTAAGGCTCGCGAGCATTTGGTACAGCTTAGATAATAGAGAATCATGATATTGTTTACGTTATATGAGTCATATATGTCTAGAGACTAGTAGTAATGACAGACATTGACAGACATATGTGCAAGGACATAATTACACAACTAATAACTGTTAATAACTAATAATAACACACGATATTGTATAGTAATAAGCTTATCAAACACATATCATGCAATAGTGATGCAATGATAATACATTTTTCGCTGTAGTTTTTAAATACCGCCCAATGTCACATTGGGCAAATGGGGTATAGTTTAGTATCGGGTTTGCCTCAGTAGAGATGTTCACGTATGAGAAACGGTAGAAACGCACTGAATATTATTAGAGTGACAATCTTCCAATTCCAGTAAAAGTATTTTTTTCGCTATGTCAACATGCAAAGTTTTGGATCTCATTGTGATTGGGACCTGGGAAGTACCTGGCCATATTAGCAAGGATGTGAAGATGTTGGAACTATGCATACACAAATATACACAACCTTGGTTTCAAAGACTGAACAGGCTCTCCAGTTTGTCTTCTGCTGTTTCTCAAACGGATGAAACAGTGTCACCACTATGGTGAATTGTGCGGATATGGTCAAACCTCAGCCCGATAAGTTGGTTTGCAGAATGTTCGGGTAGCTATTTCAGGTCCTTCGTTAATATCTTCCAAACACAACTGCCACCCATTCCCATTCCCATTTCTTTGCAGCTGAAAAGTGAATTTACATGAAATTACCTTGCATGTTTATCATTGTTTATCCTTATTTTACTCGTATCAACTCCCCATTTATCTTGTTTTTTCTTTTACATAAAAAAAATCTCAGTGGCCCAGGGCTGGGCTTCCGTTGAACAGCGTGGTTCGAATCCTGAAGCTCCAGAAGCGGCCCGAGCTCAATGGTCAGCTGGGCACCGTCGTGGGCTGGGACACCGTGGAAGATCGATGTCAGGCCAGGCTATGCTGCAGTGGAGATGGGGGTTTGAGTCCCCACCTTAAAGGCATGTTTTCTTGAAGAATAAAGGGAAACATGGAATAACATAGTGAGATACTTTGGGTAATTAACGTATGTTTCATGTTTATTGCTGAGCAGCCATTACTTACAATCTCGTTTGCAAGTATATTAGGGAGGTGACACATGAATTAAACTATTCTTATAAATCATTTAAAATGAATGACAACATGGAATGACAAGCATGCGGTCAGTTGCGTCCACATCGTCTGCTTGCATTTTGCCTTTGGAAGACGACAACCTTGAGAAATCACAAGAATAGTTTGCCTCTCGCCACAGGTTCGTTTGGTCGATGGGAGCGGTTTGCTTCTGAAGGAGCACGGGCACACCACGTGGGAATGGCTTGGATCTTTGTTCCGAAAGTGTGGCTGATTTACTGCACTGCATTGTCCGAAGAATCTAAGGAAGGAAGCCAACAGCAACAGCAACAGGATGGTCCTTTGCAGTAAACTGGGTCACCAACTTGGTTCAGATATTTGGATGCTCGGAAAGCTCGATTCCAATCTCACACCATTTGGAAAGACTTTGATGATTTATACAACTCTCCTTGATGTTGGCATGACGAAGTTCAGTTGGCTATAAATCCCACTGATATCTCCACTTTCCCACCATTATTGCTGGCCACTATCCCAATTTTTTGTATTTTCACAAACATCACTCCGATCAAACCTTGTAGGCCTGCAACATTGAACTTGTGTCCGGAGAGCCAGTGGGCGGATGGGTATATTGATCGTCCACGTTTTGATACCTGTAGTGAAAGATTCTACCCGCTGGCAACCCAACATGGCAATGAAGCATTTCGATTCATTGGTTGATGATTTGTTCCCCCTGATCTCACATTTCGGGTTCAGAAAATTGAACCTTACAATCTCTTGCCATCCAACGCTATCCAACCGCTAATCCAACCGCTAAAGCCGGCTTGCCTATTGCCACGCTATGAAGGGCGGTCTCAACCATAGAGAACATGTTCTGTTAAACCATATTCAACCATATTCAAGCGAACTATCCGCTTTTTGCGGGTGTTTTTTTGCCAAACCCAGGTCGGGAAAGGGATTTCACATGCCGGACGAAGGTGCAACAGAGCTGGGACCCTGCAGTGCCAAGACTTGGGGCATCCCATCGTCCATAATTTTGGTGGAACCATGTGGAACCAAACAGGCTTTCAAACTGACTACATCTATCATCATCTATCTACATCCATCTATTGGAAATCAGTTCACGAAAAATAATTCTGGTCTCTTCAACTACTGTAAAATGGTTACTTTTTTATGTTTTGGATGTTTTGGGCCCCATCTGAAAAACCAGGGGCACCTTGTTCTCTTCGGGATGAACACGAATTTTAGTCCCGAAGCCACCATCCCGACTTACAAGCAATTGAAAGCTGCTTTTCGACGTGGCATTTCATAGGGGGAAAGAATCATAAATCATTGGGTGTATCATTTTTTTACATACTTAACTACTAATTTCCATGTGATCGCCCTTTAGTCATTGAACTATTGAGCCAATGAGGTATAATGAGGTATATCACCTTGAATGGCAAATGATAACAACAAAACAGTATCACTAATGAAAGTTAATTTCAACAATGTTTGATTCAATTTTTCCTCAAGTTTGCTCCAAACCCCGAAGTTATCTTTTCAGCACACAGTCGCTAAGGCCATCCACTGGGTCGCCAAAGCCTGACGAGGTGCCACGAGAGTGGGCCACTGCTAAAATGCACCCAATTATGATGATCTTTGAGTCTTTGATGTTTCTTGAAGTTTTTCACTTTTGTTTTGATGTTTTTATTAAAAGTTGTAGCAGCCGATTTTAGATGGTGGAAAAAAGTGATGATGAAGGTTCTTGGTCAAAAAGGAGTATCCTGAAACCAACCTTGACCCATTTGGGTTTAGGGTTCTGGGGACTTCGGAAGCTTAGCCCTTCCCCATGCAGGGACCGTTGTCCTGTCAGGCGGTCAAGCCGTTGAGGTCGCCCAGCTGTGATTTGAACACCTTTGAAATCTCTTATTGCTATATCATTGATATCATGCTATATCAATAGGCATTGATACATTAAACAGCATTAATGGATACTAGTGGATATTAATGGGCATTGGCTCACCCATGTTTTTGTTTTTGAGGACCAGCTCACTGTACCTTGAAGATCCTTGAAATGTCATTCTGTAGCTTTTTCTTCATGGAAAAACGCAAGAACCTCTTTCTGCTTTGACATCAACGCCATGAGCTATGTATCCAACAAATTCCTGCATGAGAAGAGTTGTATGTCACAGCTGGCTGCGAACTCCAACTATAGTCCACCAAGAATTGGAGCATTTTTTGCCAAGAGAATCTAAGTATCCACGGTTTTCCGACAGCTTCAACTTGAATTGAATTCAAGTGGGTTAGCTGATGTTGGAAACAATGTTTCGATTCAAAATTTGCTCAAGTTTGCTCCAAACCCTGAAGTTATCTTTCAGCACGGTCACTAAGGCCACCCCCTGGGTTGCCAAAGCCTGACGAGGTGCCTGAGACGAGAGTGGGCCACTGCTAAAATGAACCCAATTATAATGATCTTTGAGTCTTTGATGTTTCTTGAAGTTTTTCACTTGTTTTTGATGTTTTTATTGAAAGGTATAGCATCTGGCTATAGATGGTGGAAAAAGTGATGATACAGATTCTTGGTCAGAAAAACCTACCCTAAAACCAACCTTGATCCATTCCTGAACGCCACCAGGAATTGAATCCATCACTAGTATTTAAACACGTTTCTCAGACCATCTCAAACCCAAATCTGGGGACTTCGGAAGCTTAGCCCTTCCCCATGCAGGGACCGTTGTCCTGTCAGGCGGTCAAGCTGTTGGGGTCGCCCAGCTGTGATTTGAACACTTTTGAAATCTCTTATTGCTATATGATTGATGTCATGCTATATTAGATGATGTTAGTGGATATTGATGGGCATTGGCTCAGGCTCACCATGGTTTTATCTTGAGGACCAGCTCACCGTACCTTGAAGTGTCATTCTGTAGCTTTTTCTTCATGGAAAAACGCAAGAAACTCTTTCTGCTTTGACATCAACGCCATGAGCTATGTATCCAACAAATTCCTGCATGAGAAGAGTTGTATGTCACAGCTGGCTGCGAACTCCAACTATAGTCCACCAAGAATTGGAGCATTTTTTGCCAAGAGAATCTAAGTATCCACGGTTTTCCGACAGCTTCAACTTGAATTGAATTCAAGTGGGTTAGCTGATGTTAGAAACAATGTTTCGATTCAAAATTTCCTCAAGTTTGCTCCAAACCCTGAAGTTATCTTTCAGCACGGTCACTAAGGCCACCCCCTGGGTTGCCAAAGCCTGACGAGGTGCCTGAGACGAGAGTGGGCCACTGCTAAAATGAACCCAACTATAATGATCTTTGAGTCTTTGATGTTTCTTGAAGTTTTTCACTTGTTTTTGATGTTTTTATTGAAAGGTGTAGCATCTGGCTATAGATGGTGGAAAAAGTGATGATACACTTGGTCAGAAAAACCTACCCTAAAACCAACCTTGATCCATTCCTGAACGCCACCAGGAATTGAATCCATCACTAGTATTTAGACAAGTTTCTCAAACCATCTCAAACCCAAATCTGGGGACTTCGGAAGCTTAGCCCTTCCCCATGCAGGGACCGTTGTCCTGTCAGGCGGTCAAGCTGTTGGGGTCGCCCAGCTGTGATTTGAACACTTTTGAAATCTCTTAATGTCATGCTATATTACTGTAGATGATGTTAGTGGATATTGATGGGCATTGGCTCAGGCTCACCATGGTTTTATCTTGAGGACCAGCTCACCGTACCTTGAAGTGTCATTCTGTAGCTTTTTCTTCATGGAAAAAGGTAAGAAAAACATTTCTGCTTTGACATCAACGCCATGAGCTATGTATCCAACAAATTCCTGCATGAGAAGAGTTGTATGTCACAGCTGGCTGCGAACTCCAACTATAGTCCACCAAGAATTGGAGCATTTTTTGCCAAGAGAATCTAAGTATCCACGGTTTCCGACGCTTCAACTTGAATTGAATTCAAGTGGGTTAGCTGATGTTGGAAACAATGTTTCGATTCAAAATTTCCTCAAGTTTGCTCCAAACCCTGAAGTTATCTTTCAGCACACAGTCGCTAAGGCCACCCACTGGGTCGCCAAAGCCTGACGAGGTGCCTGAGACGAGGGCGGGCCACTGCTAAAATGAACCCAACTATAATGATCTTTGAGTCTTTGATGTTTCTTGAAGTTTTTCACTTGTTTTTGATGTTTTTATTGAAAGGTGTAGCATCTGGCTATAGATGGTGGAAAAAGTGATGATACAGATTCTTGGTCAGAAAAACCTACCCTAAAACCAACCTTGATCCATTCCTGAACGCCACCAGGAATTGAATCCATCACTAGTATTTAAACACGTTTCTCAGACCATCTCAAACCCAAATCTGGGGACTTCGGAAGCTTAGCCCTTCCCCATGCAGGGACCGTTGTCCTGTCAGGCGGTCAAGCTGTTGGGGTCGCCCAGCTGTGATTTGAACACTTTTGAAATCTCTTATTGCTATATGATTGATGTCATGCTATATTAGATGATGTTAGTGGATATTGATGGGCATTGGCTCAGGCTCACCATGGTTTTATCTTGAGGACCAGCTCACCATACCTTGAAGTGTCATTCTGTAGCTTTTTCTTCATGGAAAAATGCAAGAAACTCTTTCTGCTTTGAAATCGACGCCCTGAGCTATGTATCCAACCAATTCCTGCATGAGAAGAGTTGTATATCACAGCTGGCTGCGAACTCCAACTATAGTCCACCAAGAATTGGAGCATTTTTTGCCAAGAGAATCTAAGTATCCACGGTTTCCGACGCTTCAACTTGAATTGAATTCAAGTGGGTTAGCTGATGTTGGAAACAATGTTTCGATTCAAAATTTCCTCAAGTTTGCTCCAAACCCCGAAGTTATCTTTCAGCACACAGTCACTAAGGCCACCCACTGGGTCGCCAAAGCCTGACGAGGTGCCACGAGAGTGGGCCACACCCAATTATAATGATCTTTGAGTCTTTGATGTTTCTTGAAGTTGTTCACTTTTTTTGATGTTTTTATTGAAAGGTGTAGCATCTGGCTATAGATGGTGGAAAAAAGTGATGATGAAGGTTCTTGGTCAAAAAGGAGTATCCTGAAACCAACCTTGACCCATTTGGGTTTAGGGTTCTGGGGACTAGGGTTCTGGGGACTTCGGAAGCTTAGCGCTTCCCCATGCAGGGACCGTTGTCCTGTCAGGCGGTCAAGCCGTTGAGGTCGCCCAGCTGTGATTTGAACACCTTTGAAATCTCTTATTGCTATATCATTGATATCATGCTATATCAATAGGCATTAAACAGCATTAATGGATACTAGTGGATATTGGCAAAAATGCTGCAATTCTTGGTTGGTGATTGTTGTTCGCGGCCGGCTGTGACATACAACTCTTCTCATGCAAGAATTTGTTGGATACGTCATAGCTCATGGCGTTGATGTCAAAGCAGAAATGGTTTCTTTTATATACCGTATACCGTTTTACATAAAGAAAAAGCTAAAGAATGACACTTCAAGAATCTTCAAGGTACAGTGAGCTGGTCCTCACAAACAACAACATGGGTGAGCCAATGAATCAAAGTATCCACGGTCTTCCAACAGCTGCAACTTGAAGTTAGCTGATGTTACAAACAATGTTTCGATTCAAAATTTCCTCAAGTTTGCTGCAAACCCTGAAGTCATCTTTTCAGCACGGTCGCTAAGGCCACCCACTGGGTCGCCAAAGCCTGACGAGGTGCCTGAGACAAGAGTGGGCCACTGCTAAAATGCACCCAATTACAATATATTATAATGATCTTTGAGTCTTTGATGTTTCTTGAAGTTTTTCACTTTTTTTTTGATGTTTTTATTGAAAGGTGTAGCAGCCGATTTGAGATGGTGGAAAAAAGTGATGATGAAGGTTCTTGGTCAAAAAAGAAGTACCCTGAAACCAACCTTGACCCATTCCTGAACGTCACCAGGAATTGAATCCATCACTAGTATTTAGACGCGTTTCTCAAACCATCTCTCTTAGGGCCTTAGGGTCACCAGTCTGGCTGCTTCAATAGGGGGCTGCTTCAGCTTGTAGTGGCAGCAATAAGATCACAATTGAATCCAGGAATCTCTTTGCAAGGGAGGTCACAGAATGAGCTGGAAAAACTGTAGGATTTCTAGGGAAACAATCAGGAATCGGCTTGTTTTTTAGCCCGCAAGAATCTGGTTCAAGGCTTGACATGTAGCCAAATCTAAAAACGATCTGGGAAAACTATGGAATAAGTTTGGAAAAACATGGATTAAAAAACCATGAGGGTGGGGACAAAACTGGGAATGATCTGGGAAAACCATGGGAAGATGTTGGGAAAAACCTGGGAAAACTAAAGGAAAAAGGGGAATTTAACTTGGGAAAACTGTGGGACGGGGGCAAAACTGGGAAAGATGTGGGCACGATCTGGGAAGGATCCAGGAGTGACGTGGGAATATTTCGGGAATACAATGGGAACACGTATGGGAATGGCTGGAGGAAGGTAAGAGCATTTGTTAAACAATCAAACACCTGGTCTAAATGTTTTGCCATGGGATGGCATGTCATATTCTGACTATGTCGGCACCATCAGGGATTTTCATGCGATTTGAAAGGGAAGCACCTGGGACACAGCAAAGATTTTTAAAGGAGTTGTTTGGGAAAGGAATAATGTGTCAAATTTGGCTGCCTCAATTAAAGCAGCCCCTCATTAGGGCAACCTAGGTAGTGATCAAATGAATCTCAAACCCAAATCTTTGATGTTTCTTGAAAAAACACAGTTTTTGTTTGATGTTTTCTTTTTGAAAGGTGTAGTAATCAGCCGATTTTAGATGATGAAAAAAGTGATGATACAGATTCTTGGTCAGAAAGAGTACCCTGAAATCAACCTTGACCCATTCCTGAAAGTCAACAGGAATTGAATCCATGACTAGTATTTAGACACGTTTCTCAAACCCAAATCTGGGGACTTCGGAAGCTTAGCCCTTCCCCATGCAGGGACCGTTGTCCTGTCAGGCGGTCAAGCCGTTGGGGTCGCCCAGCTGTGATTTGAACACTTTTGAAATCTCTCATTGCTATGTCATTGATATCATGCTATATCAATAGACATTAAACAGTATTAATGGATACTAGTGGATATTAATGGGCATTGGCTCACCCATGTTTTTGTTTGTGAGGACCAGCTCACTGTACCTTGAAGATCCTTGAAGTGTCATTCTCTAGTTTTTTCTTCATGTAAAAAGGTAAGAAAAATCATTTCTGCTTTGACATCAACGCCATGAGCTATGTATCCAACAAATTCTTGCATGAGAAGAGTTGTATGCCACAGTCGGCCGCAAACTCCAACAATCGCCCACCAACGGTCTTCCAACAGCTGCAACTTGAAGTGGGTTAGCTGATGTTACAAACAATGTTTCGATTCAAAATTTCCTCAAGTTTGCTCCAAACCCTGAAGTCATCTTTTCAGCACGGTCGCTAAGGCCACCCACTGGGTCGCCAAAGCCTGACGAGGTGCCTGAGACAAGAGTGGGCCACTGCTAAAATGCACCCAATTACAATATATTATAATGATCTTTGAGTCTTTGATGTTTCTTGAAGTTTTTCACTTTTTTTTTGATGTTTTTATTGAAAGGTGTAGCAGCCGATTTGAGATGGTGGAAAAAAGTGATGATGAAGGTTCTTGGTCAAAAAAGAAGTACCCTGAAACCAACCTTGACCCATTCCTGAAAGTCACCAGGAATTGAATCCATCACTAGTATTTAAACACGTTTCTCAAACCATCTCAAACCCAAATCTGGGGACTTCGGAAGCTTAGCCCTTCCCCATGCAGGGACCGTTGTCCTGTCAGGCGGTCAAGCCGTTGGGGTCGCCCAGCTGTGATTTGAACACGTTTGAAATCTCTTATTGCTATATAATATAATTGATATCATGCTATATCAATAGGCATTAAACAGCATGAATGGATACTAGTGGATATTAATGGGCATTGGCTCACCCATGTTTTTGTTTGTGAGGACCAGCTCACTGTACCTTGAAGATCCTTGAAGTGTCATTCTCTAGTTTTTTCTTCATGTAAAAAGGTAAGAAAAATCATTTCTGCTTTGACATCAACGCCATGAGCTATGTATCCAACAAATTCTTGCATGAGAAGAGTTGTATGCCACAGTCGGCCGCAAACTCCAACAATCGCCCACCAACGGTCTTCCAACAGCTGCAACTTGAAGTGGGTTAGCTGATGTTACAAACAATGTTTCGATTCAAAATTTCCTCAAGTTTGCTCCAAACCCTGAAGTCATCTTTTGAGCACGGTCGCTAAGGCCACCCACTGGGTCGCCAAAGCCTGACGAGGTGCCTGAGACAAGAGTGGGCCACTGCTAAAATGCACCCAATTACAATATATTATATATAATGATCTTTGAGTCTTTGCTGTTTCTTGAAAGTCTGAAAATAGGGTATATAATTACCCCAAATTTCCAAGCCTGTGAAGTCTGACGGCATCATGCATCGAGCGTTGCCTCGGTCTGCCAGAACCGCTTTGGGGTGAAGAACTCTCGGGAGGAACACTTCGAGGCCCCTGCAGGCTGGGCCTAGTGATGGAAAAACCATGAAACAACTGGGTATGGGTCAATACCTATAGATACATTTTTAGTGGGATGAACATCCATTTACCAGCTATTTTGATGTTCACCAGGGGTACAAGGTTTTGACACACTGCCATGCAATGAAACAACTCTTTTCCTGTCAGGAAAAACCATGAAAAACCATGAACTACTCAGGTGAAGCCGAGCCACAGCCCTTGTTGAAGTTGGGACCTCGACGAGGGGAACTCACCATGGGCTGATGTGGCAAACTCGTGGGATATGATACCATCAATAGTGATTAAAAAAAACACGTAATCCTGAAAAAATATGTTAATGATATTCTTCATCATGATAATGCACAATGAAGAGAAGCCTGATATTATATTATACATTATAATTTATAAATACGTTTCATCACAACAATGACATATAAAAGTAATAGTACTGCTGATACCACGTGATGATAAAGTTATAAAACTACATAATACTACATGAAATATACGTAGTAATACATATATCTTATCACAAATGATCGCATGCAATAATGATGCCAATATCTCATTGGGCAAATCGGTTACGGTTTAGTATCTGGTTTGCCTCAGTATGAATTTAACATTTATGAGGAACGGTGCCAGTAGTAGTCAATTTTTCGCTTTGTCAACATGCAAAGTTTGAGATCTCATTGTGATTGGGACCTGGCAAATACCGGGCCATACTGCTGCCAGAGCAAGCCAGCAAGGATGTGTAGATCTTGGAAGGATTTTGGAAGCATGCATATTCAACCTTGGTTTCAAAGACTGAACAGGCTTTCCAGTTTGTCTTCTGCTGTTTCTCAAACGCATGAAACAGTTTCACCACTATGGTGAATTGTGCGGAGGTCAAACCTCAGCCCGATAAGTTGGTTTGCAGAATGTTCGGGTAGCTATTTCAGGTCCTTCGTTAATATCTTCCAAACACAACTGCCACCCATTCCCATTCCCATTTCTTTGCAGCTGAAAAGTGAATTTACATGAAATTACCTTGCATGTTTATCATTGTTTATCCTTATTTTACTCGTATCAACTCCCCATTTCTCTCGTTTTTTCTTTTACATACAAAAAATCCCAGTGGCCCAGGGCTGGGCTTCCCTTGAACAGCGTGGTACGACTCCTGGGCCTCCAGAAGCGGCCCGAGCTCAACGGTCAGCTGGGCACCGTGGTGGGCTGGGACACCGTGGAAGATCGATGTCAGGCCGCGCTACGCTGCAGGAGATTGGGGTTTGAGTCCAAACGAAAAGGCATGTTTTTTGAAGAATAGAGCGAACAACTGAATGAACTAGGGAGAGACTTTGGGTAAGCAAAACATGTCTCTTGCTGAGCAGCCATTGCTTACGATCTCTTTTACAAGTATTGGGGAGGTGACAAGTATATTTAAGATACAAAATATATTTTAAAATATTTTAAAATCATCTAAAATCAATATGATAAACATGTTCAAGATGAAGAATTACCGCATTTTGAAGCCCGCAGAAGAATGGGCAGATGACGGGCGAATGATGTGGCAGACCCATCCATCCGGAATGAACAAAACCCCGCAAGATGACAGTTGAGGTGGTGCAGTGAAACAATTTTGATTGCACAATCTCGAAGTCAAGGATTTTGTATGTTCTGTAAGAACTTGTTGCAGCGCTCTGTGCCTTGTCAACAGAAACGCAAGCTGTCAGTTGCGCCCACATCGTCTGCTATCTTTTTTGCCTTTTGAAGACAACCTTGAGAAATCGCAAGAACAATTTGCCTCTCGCCACAGGTTCGTTTGGGCGATGGGAGTGGTTTGCTTCTGAAGGAGCGCGGGCACACCACGTGGGAATGGCTTGGATCTTTGTTGCAAAAGTGTAGCTGATTTACTGTAGCGACTGTAGTGCATTGTCCGAAGGCACGAAGGAAACCAACAACAACAGCAACAGCAGCAGCAGCAGCAGCAACAACAACAACAACAAGACCAACAGCAACACAGGATAGTCCTTCGCAGTACAGTGGGTCACCAACTTAGTTCAGATGTTTGGATGCTCCGGAAGCTTGATTCCAATCTCACACTATTTGGAAAGACTTTGATGATTTGACGAAATTCAGTTGGTTATTAAATACCATATAATATAATATAAATTATATATATACACTGTAATACCAGTATGTTTCATTTTTTCCCCACTATTGCTGGCTAATACCCCCAATTGTTGTTAGTAAAAACCCAATATTTCCCCAAACATTGCTCCGATTAAACCTGGTAGGCCTGTAACATGGAACCTGTGTCTGGAGAGCCAGTGGGCGGACGGGTGTGTTTGATGGCAATGTTTTCGTATCCTATGCATCACAAATTCGGTGCTCCGAAGATTGAACATGACAATCTTTTGCCATATATGATATATTATAATAGTTATATAAACATATTATAAACATATTATAAATCCAACCGGTACTATTAAGCCATCCAACCGGTACTAAAGTTACTAAAGACAGAGAATTTTCCATCTCGCTGGTTTGATCTCCCCATCAGCGCAGAGATATATGGGGTATAGATTTTCCCAATGAAATAGCCATAAAAAGGTAGAGATAATGATCAGCAAAACCATTGGGTTGATTGGGGTTTAGCCTATTGTTTAGCCTATTTTCAGACAAAGCCAGCCATATATTTGATAGATTGGTTTCGGATGGTTCAGGATGGTGATTTAGGAATCGATTTGGGCTAAACTCAACCATCAAACAAGCAGCCTTGGTCCTTGGTCGATGATGAAGGATGTTGATGGTTTGTGGATCTTTGTTTATCCAAACAAAATTCAATCATTCACAATGCAATACCATCAACTTCATTTCATGAACATCCATCAACTACCATAAACAAAACAGAATCCGTCACCCTTGGTCGGCTAGTGAACAGCTTGTTTTGAGTAATAAGTATCATGCATGGGGCAGTTAGTATTTCATTATCAGCTTGAAACGAATCGTTTTGCGGCTGGTATGAACTGTTTTGCGGTCATCATTTTCCTTGTCCGGGCAGAGGACGGCACAGTCTGGATTTCTTTCGATTATGGAGGGATTCTTCACTTTTGGGCCACTCGAGAAAGGTTGCAGTTTTAGCTAACGGTCTGTTTATGCAACTTTCTTCTACCAATTGATGGAGACAAGGTTGTTGCATGCAATTTTCTGGGCGTTTCCTTGTACAGTAGCCATCAGTAGCCCTCGTCCTCTTCATTATTTTCATCATTGCCAGCCACACCACATTTCTTCATCCTGCATTCTCATCGTCATCACCACCATCATCATCAACACCATGATCATGATTGTGATCCTGCACATGATGTTTGTGCTTGCGTGTCATCCATATCAGCTATATGCCATGCATGCCGCATCCCTTGTTTGAGGCCGAAGGATGCCTGGCGGAGGACATGGGAGAGTTGAGGGATACTTCTGCAATTATAAGATGCAGGACGTTGCGGCAATATGGTCAGAACATCATCATAAACTTTAATTATACTATGTAATACTATGTAATTACCTGATATTACCTGTTTGTTCCTTCAGCTTCCTCTTCAAACATGGGAAATGTTCACTGCCATGTTAAAGTATCAGCGGGTAGTTCATTCACAGGACATATTCAGGACCACGGAGTGCAGGATTAGGGATCATCCCCACTGATATTTTGTGATATATTATACAACTGGGGATGATCCATATAATCCTAATAATATCAGTGAGTTGATCATAATATAATAATATAGATATCATTGATATACACTAAGAATCCCATCCATATCATCATTAGATATCATATAATATATACAACGAATGTCAACTAATCCCTTGCCCCTAATATGAAACACCACAGAATCCATGGTTTAGTCAGGGATTTACAACATATAGGGACCCATATTTAGGGTGTGTTTAATACTAGGCGGATGGGATTCTACATATTTGGTCCCATCTAACGGTTGGTTGGTCAGGAGAGGGGAGTTACTTGTCTGTTCATGTCTTTGATCATCATGTCATTTTATTTGCTATTGATCAATCAACCTCTTTTCCGTATGCCATTTTGGTGACTAGCTCAAGAGATCACCAGGCATCCAATTTGTCCCATTAGGTTTCATAGAGGGCCTGGGTGATCACTCAGCTTTCAGTTTCAGTAGGCATGTCCCAATTTCCTCCAGCCATGCCCCGTGCTCTTTCGAATCAAGCGAAGATGCTGCAAGGGAGATCCCGAGCCGCTCGTGCTTCTGATGATCAACATTCTGAAGCTGGCACTATGGGGTCGTGGCGTGTGGCGGAGGATCCTGAGCAGGATGTGCCACCTGATCATGCTGAGGCCTGGAGCGGTGTGTTTGAGCCAGCTCGAGCAGCGCAAGCTGAGCAACCTCAGCCTTCACAGCCTGCTCAGGCAGCTCCTGTGACACAGGCTGCTCGCAGCTTTGTGGATCGGTCGAATGAGACGCCTGCTGCTCGGCGCTTGAGAGAGCAGCAGGACAAGGCAGCCAAGTCAGGCCGCCGTTCGGTGAAGTTCAACCAGATGGGCGCTCACAATGCCATCAACGTTCGTTTGCCTGAGCACTTGCAGCAGGTCGGCTCCGGCGAGAACGAGAGATCAGTGCTGGTCCTGGACAGCCGTGACAATAGGCTGCAATCCCCTTATCAAGGGTGGCTGCTGGATGAGATCTTGATCAACGCCAATGCCCGGATCAACATCTTGAGCGATCGAGCTCTTGTGAGGTCGCCCTCAACTGGATATCACATGAACCTGTTCATGCTCAAGACCCTAGATGGCTTCAAACTGGTGCTGTGTGGATCCATGACGTCATACGGATCTGTGCCATGTGGGAAATGGGACTCACACACTGGCAAGGTGCTCTCGCACGAGGCTTTTCAGCCATTCCGCTGGCCTCTCATGCGGGACGACTCTCCCACTTGGGTGGACGTCAAGGTGAAGATCGAAGGTCAGCTCTTTGTTCATTTGGAACTCAGGGGCTATCGCTCAGACAGCGACATGACCGTTCAGATCAACCACGTGGCAGATCACCTGATGTACGTCCTGCAGGAGAATGCTTTCATCCCCACGTTCGTGGTGACAGTGTTCCAAGGATGGCAAGTGGTTGCATGCTCATGGGAAGTGGGTGGCAGGCTCTACGTCTGCTCAGAAGGAGGTGTTGTGGTAGCGGCGGATTACCCGCTGTGTCATTTCGAATGCCGGATCGTGGCGACGTCGTCTGAGGATGCCTTCGGTCTTGACGCAGATCGACTGGAGTTTAGATTTCTCAGTGCGGGCGATCGCCTTGATGTGGCGGCTAGCACTTGCTCAGTCCCTCCGTCGTGGCTTGTGGTCAGCAGAGTGTCAGGGCCAACCCTGATCAGGAATGCAAACTGGTGTCGATCGAAATATGCTCGCATCGAGTCGCCTGATCAGGCTCTGCAGTTGGCTCAGCTTGCCAGCATCCATGCCCACTGGACGGTGAATGTTGAAGCCGCTCGTGAGGAGGACACGGGACCCATCGTCTCGGCCGTTGCCGTGGAGAGCAATGCAGCCAATTTACACTTGATCTGCGAGTCTCCTTTGTTCAAGAAGGATCGAGCTATTGTGCCCATGGAAGCCTTCCCAAACTCTCGCCGAGCAATTTTTTTCAATAGATCTATTGAAAAAGAAGGAAAAATCAGTAGCGATTGAAAACAGCATTTTCCAAGTTAAAATCAATAGAAATGTCATTTTGGTATATAGATTTCTATTGATTTTTGAGGCACTTTTCTATTGTTTTTTTATTGGTGTTTCTATTGATTTTTAACAAAATTCCTATTGATTTTTTCTCTGAATTTAAGTTAAATTCCTATTGATTTTGGCTTTGAATTTAGGTCAAATTCCTATTGATTTTTGCTTTGAATTTGGTTCAAATTCCTATTGATTTTTGCATTGATTTTAGGTCAAATTCCTATTGATCTTTTCTTTGAATTTAATTGACGTCTATTTATTTCTATTGAATTTCAAAAGTAAACATCTATTGAGTGGTAAGCCGTGAATCCTGTTGATTTTTCACCATTTCAGAATTACATCTCCTTTTCTGTTTTCTCTCGCGTGCTTTTTTCACAAAATAGAGAAGCTGGGTGTTTGAAACTTAAAACATATATACGCTTACAGACGAAATATACTAACTTCAAGACTATGCAGCAGTCAGATTGCCAAGTAAACGGGAAAGACAACTTCACTGATGGCTGGATAGCCAAATTATGGCATGGATGGCTGCATAGCCAAGTCCAGTGATGGCTGGATAGCCAAGTCCATTGATGGCTGGATAGCCAAGTCCATCGATGGCTGGATAGCCAATATGTGTGTGCAGAAAAGCCATGCGGGTGATCAGCAGGCGCATATTAGGCCCAAAAATGCCCAAAGCGAAGAAAAGTAGGCGGTCAAAATGCCCACCTGTCGACACGGGGCACATGGATGAGCTGCTGCAAAGTTATGTGAAAAAGAAGGGTATAGCTGCTTCCTTCGAGTTGGGCCGCTACAGTGCCCTGCAGACACAGAATGCTATCAATGGCTCTGCGCTGTCGAAGCTGAAAGAGTTGGTAGGTGTCTTGATGAAGTTGGAGACGGGCCTGCACTTCAAGTTTTCAGACTTGAAGGGGTCCTTGCGGAGGTGCTGCCTACAGTTTCCGGAGTTGAGGTACAAGATGGAGGAAAGCAAGAGGTGTGACTATGAGGGAACCATGGCTTCTGCCTTGCTTTGTGTCTGTGCGCATACCAGGCGCCTGAAAGACTCAACAAGGTTCCGGGAGGCTTGCTCAAAGTGCACAGACGACGAGAAGAAAGAGCTCTTGGAGATGAAGAAGTGGCTTAGTGGAGAAGAAAGCGAAGGAGAGGACCAAGTAACTTGGCCAAATGGATTTGTATGCGCGGGGCCCTTCAGGAAATAGGAGCTTGTTTTTGGATGGGTTGTTTTTTCTGCTGATCTCGAGGAATCTGTGGCTGGTTCCATAGAGCTTCCAAGCTTGCCAGCAACACCTTTGATGGCAACACCGAAGAAGAGAAAGGCAGTGGCCTCGGCCACGCCAGAAGAGAAAGGACAGCCTGACTTGGATGAGGAAGCAGAAATGGCGACCCCACTGCCTTCCAGAAAGGCAAAGCTGAAGGAGAAAGTCCTGAAGAGGCCTGCAGCTGTTTCACCGCAAAAGAAACCAGCAGCTAAGAAGGTTGAGAAAAAGATGGAAGGCAAGAAGAGCTGGGTTCTGATGCACTACAAGAGAAGCAAGGTCAGAAAGAGTGATGCATGGGCTGTTCGCCAGTGTGGGGGCTCGCAATTGTTTCAAATGGTGTGTTCAAAAGACAAGAATGCGGAAGGCATTTGCAAGCAGGCTGTGAAAAAGTTGGAAGATGGAGATTCGCCTAGGAAAGTCAAAGAATGGGCAAAGGCTCAGTAAGAGCGAAGCATGGGCCCACGCAGAAAAAGTTTGCAGTGACTGAAGCATGTGTGATGGCTGGATAGCCAACTTTTGCAAATTCGTTTCTCTCTTGCTTTGATGGCTGGATAGCCAAGCGTAGGGATCCATTGCCCAAAAAGGGTGATCACTGTGCATCTGCACTCATTTCCAAAACGCCGTGGGTGGCTGGAGGGAAGCCAAAACGCAAGCGTGAGTGGATGGCTGGATAGCCAATCTTGGGACAACTTACAATTGGCATTGCACCGAGCGGACGGGTTCAAGCAGGAGCTGCCGAAGGAAATGCCATGGCGCACCGAATGGATAGCGTGCCTGCAGAAGATGTGCGTCGTATAGATGCCGCCGCCACGCGTGTGGTCCCAGGGGGAGGAGGCTGGCTGAACCGGTTTCGTTGTAAAAATAGATGGCTGGATAGCCAGGTCAATAGATGGCTGGATAGCCAAGTCTGTTGATGCAATTGGATCTGGAGTTCTGCAGCAATGGCTAGTAAAGCCATTTTCTGTTATATTTCTGTGTCCTCTGATTGCAGCAGGAACGAACTACTGGCGGCAAGCGACGAGGACTCTGTGGGATGCAACGGCGGTGGCGGGAGAAGACTACCAGGTGTGGCTCCGGGCAGTGGCAAGAAGCGGCTGTAGGATGACAGGGGTGCCGCCACCAGGGACGATGGAGTCACACAGAAGTGCCTTGATGAGGGCATTCACCCGAAGTGGTTCAGAGGACTACTGGGCCACTTGGAGATTGCAGCTACTTTGTTGTTTTGCAGATGGCTGGATAGCCATGATGAACTCTATATAGTTTTGTCTTTTTTGTGTTGGATGGCTGGATAGCCACATGGCAGGAAAAAATCTTTCGAGTTGGAGGGCTGGATAGCCATCTTGTCGTACCAGTTCTATCTGCTGATGGCTGGATAGCCAGTATGGCTTCGCTCAGGACTTCGTCGACGCCTGCATTGACAACCGCGAAGTCTCCACCGCAGCAGGAGC